TGGAGCTGGAAGTGGAGAGGAGATCTGTAGTTGTGTAGTCGCTCAGTCATGTCCGACTCTTTTGCAACTCCTTGGACTGCAGCCCACCAGGCTCCACTATCCATGGAATTTTCCAGGCAAGAATACTGGGGTGGATTGCCATTTCCTCTTCCATGACCCAGGGACCTTCATGACCCATGAATCTAATCCGCATCTCCTGCATTGCAAGTGGATTCTTTACCACTGAGCCACCAGGGAAGCCTGGAGAGATCGATACATCTGGGAAAAAAATATCTTGTCTGACTCTCCCTGAAGGCTAGTTTCAAGCAGACCGCTGAGCTGTTTTATCTGTCTGCCAGTCTGGGATGATGACCTCTTTTCAAGGTATTTAAAAGAGCAGCATAAGTGTCATATCTCCTCTTCACTGCTGTTTCAATCAGGCTGCTATCAGGAGTTAGACTTCATCCCAGATGGCTGGAATTCAGGAACCTTAGCAGAGTGGTTACTTGCAGATGAATGGGCCGGTTTAGAAGAATTGAGGCAGGCAGATGCTAGCAACCACGGGAAATAGTTGCTACTCAGCTTTCCTAGTGGCTCAGTGGCGAAGACTCCACCTGCCAGTGCAGGAGACTTAGGAGACATGGGTTCGATCCCTGGGTTGGGGAAGAGCCCCTGGAGGAAGTGAAAAGAAAGTGTGAAGGTGTTAGCCACTCAGTCGTGTCTGACTCTTTGCAACCCCATGGGCTGTAGCCCGCCAGACTTCTCTGTCCATAAGATTTCCCAGGCAAGAATACTGGAGTGGGTTGCCATTCCCTTCTCCAGGACATCTTCATGACCTAGGGGTGGAACCTGGATATCCTGCGTTGCAGGTGGATTCTTTATCATCTGAGCCAACAGGGAAGCCCTCCTCTGGAGAAGGAAATGGAACCCACTTCAGTATTCTTGCCTGGAAAATCCCATGGGCAGAGGAGCCTGGCAGGCTACAGTCCACAGGGTTGCAAAGAGTTGGATGCTTCTGAGCATATATAGAAAGCTGAAAGATATCCAGTATAATTGTTCTTTACCATCAACCAAAGATTTTCCCCCATTTTCTTAAGTTTCCCATCTGCTTCCCATCAGATACTTTTATTTTTTTTTAACAATGCAACATCTTGACTTCTTGTTAATTCATTAAGTGAAAGTATTTTTGGTTGTAATGTATGAGTATGGGGATTCACCTGAGAAATAGTTGATCAAATTTTTTCACATGAACAAATTGGACTTGGGGAATTTCTAAATGACATGAAAAAATTTTTTACGTGAGTTTGTGTTCTTTGTCATCAGAAAATGTAATTCTTGCAGAATGCATTATTGGTACCATAATATTTAGCACATGTTATTGTCAACTGTAATTGAAGGTTTTTCAAAGTGGGCATTTTAATGTAATCTCTGATCCTAGAGATTTCTTGACACTGTAACTTTGATGTGGCTCCTTTGATTGAAGTATGCTTTTATCAGTAGGATTACTACTTTTATTAAAATTATTGTTGGGGTTCAGTGGCCAAGTCACGTCCAACTCTTTGCAACCCCATGGACTACAGCACACCATACTTCCCTGTCCTTCAGCATCTCCCATAGTTTGCTGAAACTCATGTCCATAGAGTTGGTGATGCCATCCAACCACCTTATCCTCTATTGTCCCCTTCTCCTCTCACCCTCAATCTTTTCCAGCATTGGGGTCTTTTCTAGTGAGTCAGTTCTTTGCATCAGGTGGCCAAAGTATTGGAGCTTCAGCCTCAGTCTCAGGAGCCTCAGTCTCAGGAGCTTCAGTCCTTCCAATGAATATTCATGGTTGATTTCCTTTAGGATTGAATGTGTAAGCTATTTTGTTTTATCCTATACCCAGGTAACATACTCTTGCTGAATTCCACTGTCAGGGATGTGTCGTAAATTGAGGGTGCGGGATGGGATGAGAAATGGGTGAGTTTCCAATATGCAGTGGCCATATTAAAAATAATCCATGCCATTGAAATGGCAGTGGTAAAGTGGCTAGATAAAAAATAAAAACAGAAATGGTCTGCTTGTTTGCACATGTATTCTCTACCCTAAATTGTGAGCAGTTCAGCAGAAACTGAGTTTGGGATCAGCATACAGAAGGATTAACTGCTATATGACTAATTTTCTATATTGCCACTCAGTTTAGCAGTTTGGATTGAGGAAAGGGAAACTACGTGGGTCTGTAGCATTTGATAAACTAGAGGTCCATGAAGAACTATGGTAATGACTGTGAGTGCTGTGTGTGGTGACAAGTGTGCTCCAGCCAGTAACAATGAGGGGATGGTGGACATGGTGGAGTGGTTGGTGGATAGTGTTGGTGAAGGAGTTGTGGAGATAGATACGGGAATGATGATGTTGGTGGCAGAGCTGGCAACATCGGTGGTAGAACTGACGATGCTTATGGTGGTAGAAGACGTAATGAAAGTTGAAGAGGTGACGATAGTGAGTTGGCCTCACTCTTCTAATAGAGCTGCTATTAGAAGTGAGGTTGTTGATGGGGATAGGGCAAGTGTTAGTAATGATACTGGTAATTCCATAAATGGTGGTAGAGCTTAGAAATCTTGAAGCTTTATGAAGTGATGTGATATCACATGACATTTAAATTGTTCTGTGTGTCTTTGGCTGGATACCAATAATGAAGCATGGTAAATTTACTTGCAGAGAGATTTGCCATACTGAGCATTCTCATTGCAGATGCTCTTTAAGTTTTTCCTTAATTACTGATACTTGTACCATGCTGTGCCAAAAAGCAACACTCTTGTCAGTTTCAACACTGTGCATAAGTTCTTCTAATAAATATTATTCAGCCCCAATTATTGGATATTTTTAGAGTAAACCTGGCTTCCCCTATTCAATGCAGTGCTCTTCAGAGTTGATTTTTATCCGGAAAGTGATGCTATTTAGTCAGGGATTATCTTTTATCTCTGTTTGCAAAACAGCTGGAAGTGTAGCTACTGAGATTTGATGTTTGTCTTCCTGCACTTGACTGCCAAGCAAAATCATTTCATTTTAATCGACAGAATTTACCTTTGTAAATTAGCATGTGCATATACCATTGAAAGATTGAAACTACAAGTTTGACCTTCTAGTAGGTATAATACATGATCTTTTTTTTTTTTTTGGATAGATAGAATGTTCTTTGTCTTTCTCATGGTATGTTTGAAATTAAACAAAAATGTCCGTAGTGAATTTTCCCTTTTCATTGTTTAAAGTAAACCTCCTAAAAAAAAAAAAAAAAAAAAAAAAGTAAACCTCCTTCTCTCTGCCTGGCCACAGGTGACTTATTCTTCCAACTGGGAGACCACATTTGATTCTAGAGACCAGTATGAACCTGCTCAACAAATTTTCAGCTTAAACAACTGAGGATTTTTCTTATTTGATGTATTTAAGAGTATCCACGGTTTATGGTTACTGAATATTTGCTATGCAGCTGGCACTTTTCATGGCTATCTCATGATATGTTCTAATACATTCACATTTTATGGATAAGAAAAGTGGGGCTTTGGGAGCCACACTTATACTTGGCAGAGCCAGGATTTGGACCCAGCTGCTTACTGGTACCCATGCTCTTAACCGTTATGATACATTTCCTGTAGATTTCCACCAATGTGGAATTTAGTTCAACTCTCCTTTTCTACTTGAAAAACCAAGTAGATTTATTTTTTTTTTTAAAACGTCTGGGTTTTTTGGAGAAGAATCAAGATTGCCCTCCAGGAGAAAGGGAACCATATGGAAATTATCCATTTTATTCTTGACTTAGAAAATGTTTGTTTAAATAATGGGATCGGACTTGGAGTTAGAAATCTGTAAGGTTAGTTACACACTCTACAATCTACCAGCCCCGAGATCACAATTTAGTCTCTTAATCCGCAGAATTTGGGACATTAGAGGCTCCTTTCCCTCATTTGCCAAAGAGAGAAATAATCTGCCCTATTCATCTTAGATAGTAACAACTTTGTAAAGATTGAACTCAGAGTAACTTGACTGGACCCCTGCAGTGATGTCCTAATCAATTTCCCTTCTTCTGATCTCTACCTTGCAAAGTTCTTCTCCATGATAGTTTCCCTAAAGTGTCCCGTTAACCATGGCTCTTGTCTCATCAGAAACCTTCTTTATGTAACCATTAACTGTAGGATAAAATTAAAGTGCTTAACTTGATATTCAAGTTCTTTGCATCTAGTCCTTCCAATCACACCTTTCACATTCTCCTTTAAAGAACCTATATGCTACTTTATTTTTTTTTTTTTGAAATTTTGAGATTTTTCATTTGAAGGTAAATCTTAATGCTATTAAATTCACAAATATGCTAATTTAAATACCCAACTCTATTATCTAAAACACATATTGCAAACATACAAATATCTATTCTCTCCACATGTCAGAGCCATTCGTTTCATGGTTTGGAAATGGGGAGAATAGATTCCCCTTAAACTGCAAGTCAGCAGGTGTTTCTTTACAGTTAACTTTAGCAAAATTCATACAAAATAGTAATTAACAATGATCTTCTTTACTTGTTAACTCACAAGGAAACACCTTCAAAACTGCATTTTGTTAAAGTTTCTGTACTAAAATGTAGAAAAACTGAACTACACAAATATTGAAAAGTTAAAAATTCCTTAATTTTTTATTCCTGGTACCACTACCACAATTTACAGGGCAATATACCTGATGTAATGAAAAGAAAAAGAAAAAGAAAAAGCTACAACAGATAAAAGACCTCAGGAATGTACACCTAATTGACACTACATTGCATTAATCAATAGCTGCACTTTTTGCAAACTGTGGCTATGACAGTCCTGAACAAGAAGGGTTTCCTGTTGAAGCTGCAGTAACTTTTCTGACTGTGGATCATCGTTCCTCCTGTGGCAGATTTTTACAGTTCCTCTAACGCATTTGGGACGACTGTCTCAGAGTAACCTGCAGCTTTCCTGACAACTCCTCGCTCTCTCTCCTGCTAAGAACTGTAGCCCTTTTCTTCTGAGTTTTTAGAACCTTCTGCTACCATATCCACCACTTCCACCACCAGATCCATAACCACCACCATAGGGACTGCCCGAGCTGCTTCCACCAAAACTACCCCCTTTCATGGGTCCATAATTTGATTGCTGTTGTCCACTATAATTTCCAAAATCATGATCGTTTCCACCACCACCATAGTTACCACCTCCAAAATTTCCTCCTTCATTGTAACCATCGTATCCTCCACCACCGCCACCATATCCACCACCTTGGTTTCCATATCCTGGTCCACCACCACCGTAACCTCCTCTACTACTATAACCAGGACCACCGCCATAGTTGCCACCATCACCTCCAAATCCATTGTATCCACCATCACCTCCTCCATAACTCCCTCGGCTGCCACCACCTCCACCACCATAGCCTCCTCTTCCACCAAAGTTTCCACCACGGCCAGACTTACCTCCACCACCTCCAAAGTTTCCTCCACGACCCATAAAGTTGCCAGATCCACCTCCACGACCTCTTTGTGATCCAGCAGATTGCATCTCTTGTTTAGAAAGGGCCTTTTTCACTTCACAATTATGCCCATTAATAGTGTGGTATTTCTGAACAACAGTTTTATCAACTGTATCATGATCATCAAAAGTTACAAAAGCAAATCCTCTCTTTTTCCCACTCTGCCTGTCTTCCATAACTTCTATGGTTTCAATCTTGCCATACTTTTCAAAGTAGTCTCTCAAATTATATTCTTCTGTATCTTCTTTAATACCACCAACAAAAATTTTCTTCCCTGTTAGATGGGCACCAGGCTTTACAGAATCCTCTCTAGAAGCAGCTCTCATTGGCTCCACTACACGCCCATCACCCTTGTGCGGTCGCGCACACATTGCTGCATCCACTTCTTCAACACAAGAGTGAGTCACAAAGCCAGAGCCCCTGGAACGTTTTGTTTGGGCGTCTCTCATCACCACACAATCTGTAAGCGTGCCCCGTTTCTCAAAATGTTCTCTTAAGCTGTCATCTGTAGTTTCAAAGCTCAGACCACCGATAAACAGCTTTCTCAGCTGCTCTGGTTCCTTGGGGTCATGACCCTCCTCCCCCCCGGCGGCGGCGGCGGCGGCGGCGGCGGCGGCGGCAACGGCCGGAGTCGGGCTGGGGGCGACCGGGCGGCGGTTTTACCTCCATTTTGAGACCGGACTCGGCTCTCCCAACTCGAGTTCAATATGGGACCGAGAGCCTATATGCTACTTTAACAGAATTGTTTGTTGTTGTTATTCTTCACGCCTTTGTTCAGGCCTCGAATTACTTGTCCATTCCTTACTTAAATATTTTTACACAGCGTGAAGTGAGGACACAGCAAGAAGATGATTGTCTGCCCACCCCGAGGGAGCTCTCACCAGAACCTGACACTTGTGGTACCCTGATCTTGGACTTCCAGCTTCCAGAAAGGTGAGAAAATATAATTTGAGTCATGTAATTGAATCACCTAATCTGTGGTATTTTGTCCTGGCAGCCTGATAGTACAGTGGACCCTTGAACAAGTACAGTGTAAGTAAGACAAGTACAGTGGACCCTTGAACATCACGGTCTTGAACTGCACAGATCTACTTATATGTAGATGTTTTTCTACAGTGGATACTGCATCACTGCACCATCCGAGATTGGTTCAATCTGTGATACAGGTCCACGGATAGAGAGGGAACTCAGTTATGGAGGGCCGGACTATAAATTATATACGGATTTTCAATAGTACTACACAATCTAAAGTTTGTTGGTTGAATACAGAAATGCAGAGGAGTTCCAGATATAAAGAGCAGACTATAAATTATAGGCAAATTTTTGCTTGTGGAGGATAGGTGCCCCTAACCCTCATTTTGTTTAGGGATCAACCGTATCTACTATTTGGAATGTTGAAGAGCGAAAATTCCTTCATTTTTGATTCTGTGGTCTGGATTGCTAGCTGCTGAGTTTTACCTGAATCTTGGGGTCACCTGATCTTAGCTAATCTCCTTTGCCCAGGGAAATTTCCAGTATGTCTCAGACTAGGGCTCATTTTTGATCAATAGTTTGAGTATTATGGAAGTTTTCCTGAAAGTGAGATGTGGAAATACAGATGCCTTCTTCCTGTTGAAGGTGTCTATTTGAGTGGATGAATCTAAACTGAAAAATACTGATTATTTCTGCTCACTAGTGGGAAGAATAACAGCTAAAGTGATCATCAAAATGATTGGCATGGCCTGTTATTTCAGCAAGATCATGAGTGAGAGGTACTGTTGAAAGGGAATAAAAGAAGGAATAATACATTAATTATTTTGGGAAAAAGGGGGAAAATTAAGGACTATGGTTGAAATACTATTGTTTTTCTATTTTTAAGAAAATTATGCATTTTCCCACTTCACTCTAGCTTTATAATGTCATTTTATTCAACACAGCATTGCTTCTCCTTGGGAATCATGATGGGAAATTAATCTCAACATTTAATTGCAATGTGTTAGTGTTAACATGCCTTATGAAGGTAGTCAGGAGACAGATCTGTAGGTTTGCTTCTCCACAGTCTGATACCATGAGCTAATGGGAACAAGGTTTAGGGGGTCTTAGTGTGCTAATGGGCTTCCTAGGTGGCTCAGTGGGTAAAGAAACTGCCTGAAATGCAGGAGATGCTGGAGATATGAGTTCAATTCCTGGGTCAGGAAGATCCCTGGAGCAGGGCACGGCAACCCACTCCAGGATTCTTGCCTGGAGAATCCCATGGACAGAAGAGCCTGGTGGGCTAGTGTCCATGAGGTCACACAAAGAGTTGAACATGACTGCACGACTAAGCACAGTGGTTTTCTAGTGTTCACATGACCCTGGGAGCTTGTTTGGTTTCAGATTTCCAGAACAATTTCTGGGATACGGGTTCAGAAGGTCTAGGGTGGGGATAAGTATGTACATTTTTAAATAAGCATCTTTGGTAATTCTGATGTAGATGGTCTAAAGATTACATGGCTTCTAAGGTATACCAAGTTAACCTTTTAAAGCCTATTTCCTGTTCAGAAGAAAGTTCTGATCTGCCTATGGCCACTTGAGGCGACATTTAGAGATGCCAGTTTATTTGTATGATTGAATTCATCTGGGTGCTAGTTAAGTGAATTGACCCTTGAATGTCTATTCCAGGTGCTTCAGGGTAGGACCATCACCAACTCCCCCCGCCCCCTCCAAAAAAGGAAGAAGACTATGACTCTGAGAGAAAGAAGTGTTATTTAGCTTAAAGGAATGTAAGCAGGAATGGAATGCCAGACATCAAGTGTTGGAAAGTTTTGAGTGTAACCTCCCCAGGGTCCTTCAAACTGTGTCCCACATAGGCGTGAGGGGTACGGGTAGCTCCGAGGGTGGAACTGAAAGTTCCAACCCCTTATTCACCCCTCCTCCCACTCACCTGATTGCTTCTCTTGGAATTGTGCTTTCTGAAAGTCACCTTTTTTTTTTTTTTTTCTTTAAAAACTAGTAAACTCAGTTGTGGTTGAACGGGACTTGTTATGAATGAGAAAAAGGATTTTTTTTCCTTTTCGCCTCTAATGCTCTTATCACTTAGGACACTGTTAGTACAAAGGAGAGAAGAACTGGCCAGACTGGTAGGTGGAGATTGGAATAAGCAAGGATATTTACAAACGAGGCTTGTCTTCCACTGTTGCAAGAGGGTTAGATCTCTGCACCAGAGGTCTTAAAAGTTTATGTAGAGGACTTAACTGTTCATTCGTATATGCTGGGCCAACGATCTCAACACCATGGGGCTCTCTCAAAGGTTGCATGCTTGAAAACAGTTCCAGCTGCGGGAATGGTGCGCAGTATGTACATGCCATGGACGGGGGATGGGGTGAGGGGGGTGATGAGCCTCCAGTTGCCCGGGGCCAATTCAGAAGTCAAGGGGAGGTCATGTCCTCTCAATGACCTCCTCCAACAGAAATTCCGAGGTTTTTAAGAACTCTTCCTCCCAGGACTGGGAGAAAGAACGGGTGTATATATTTCTTACTATAAATCATGACATCACAGTCTGCCTCACATGGACGCCTCTGTCAGTGACTTTGCCTCTAAGTGGGTCTGTCCTTAAGGTATTGTTGTTCTGGAGACTTTATTTGCTTTGAGTGTGATTATTGTTTGGTCAGAAAACTATAGCTTTTACTTTAGATAATTGACTTTAGAGGGGTTTGTTGCATTGTTAAATGTTACTTTTATCTAGACTTAGGGCTAAAATATTGCCTGTGGGGAACATATCTTTGGCTTGGTAATGGAAGTTAATGGGAAAAATACATTTTGATTAAAAGAAAATTGCTTTATAGTCAGTTTTTAAACAAGAATTGGAACAATTGCATTAGATGAGATAGCCCAGTATACCTACTCTCCAAATGTTATTTACTTTTTGTAGTATGGCTATTTTCAGTGTTCTCTTTACCTTCTTAGCTTTGCCTCCTCCAATCAGATTGTTAGGGTCTGATTTCCTAAGTAGGCAATATCTAAGTCAGATAACATGAAGGATACAAAACTCCAATATTTTGACCACCTGATGTGAAAAGTTGACTCATTAGAAAAGACCCTGATACTGGGGGAAATTGAGGGCAGAAGGAGAAGGGGGTGGCAGAGGATGAATTGGTTGGATGGCATCACCGACTCAATGGACGTGAGCCTGAGCAAACTCTGGGAGATGGGGAGGACAGGGAAGCCTGGTGTGCTGCCGTCCATGGGGTTGCAAAGAGTCGGACATGACTGAGTGACTGAACAGCAAACATTTTGGAAACAGTAGTACTATAAAATGTAAGATACTGTTAATTTTATGGAGTCTTCTTCCTCTTTTGTGCTATGCCTAGATCCTTGAGAGAATTGGTCTGAAAGATAGTCTAATTGTATACTATTCTGTGTGCTCACAGATCCCCACCCAGAATCTCTGCCTTCTACCCCGCAGCTTGAGGTAAACAAACTAGAATGTATTGTTAAGTTTCCCTTTATCTGTCTTCTATAAATTCAAGATCAAGTGGTGGAGCTGGAAGTGGAGAGGATCTGTAGTTGTGTAGTCGCTCAGTCATGTCCGACTCTTTTGCAACTCCTTGGACTGCAGCCCACCAGGCTCCACTATCCATGGAATTTTCCAGGCAAGAATACTGGGGTGGATTGCCATTTCCTCTTCCATGACCCAGGGATCTTCATGACCCATGAATCTAATCCGCATCTCCTGCATTGCAAGTGGATTCTTTACCACTGAGCCACCAGGGAAGCCTGGAGAGATCGATACATCTGGGAAAAAAATATCTTGTCTGACTCTCCCTAAAGGCTAGTTTCAAGCAGACCGCTGAGCTGTTTTATCTGTCTGCCAGTCTGGGATGATGACCTCTTTTCAAGGTATTTAAAAGAGCAGCATAAGTGTCATATCTCCTCTTCACTGCTGTTTCAATCAGGCTGCTATCAGGAGTTAGACTTCATTCCAGATGGCTGGAATTCAGGAACCTTAACAGAGTGGTTACTTGCAGATGAATGGGCCGGTTTAGAAGAATTGAGGCAGGCAGATGCTAGCAACCACGGGAAATAGTTGCTACTCAGCTTTCCTAGTGGCTCAGTGGCGAAGACTCCACCTGCCAGTGCAGGAGACTTAGGAGACATGGGTTCGATCCCTGGGTTGGGGAAGAGCCCCTGGAGGAAGTGAAAAGAAAGTGTGAAGGTGTTAGTCACTCAGTCGTGTCTGACTCTGCAACCCCATGGGCTGTAGCCCGCCAGACTCCTCTGTCCATAAGATTTCCCAGGCAAGAATACTGGAGTGGGCTGCCATTCCCTTCTCCAGGACATCTTCATGACCTAGGGGTGGAACCTGGATATCCTGCATTGCAGGTGGATTCTTTATCATCTGAGCCAACAGGGAAGCCCTCCTCTGGAGAAGGAAATGGAATCCACTTCAGTATTCTTGCCTGGAAAATCCCATGGGCAGAGGAGCCTGGCAGGCTACAGTCCACAGGGTTGCAAAGAGTTGGATGCTTCTGAGCACATATAGAAAGCTGAAAGATATCCAGTATAATTGTTCTTTACCATCAACCAAAGATTTTCCCCCATTTTCTTAAGTTTCCCATCTGCTTCCCATCAGATACTTTTATTTTTTTTTAACAATGCAACATCTTGACTTCTTGTTAATTCATTAAGTGAAAGTATTTTTGGTTGTAATGTATGAGTATGGGGATTCACCTGAGAAATAGTTGATCAGATTTTTTCACATGAACAAATTGGACTTGGGGAATTTCTAAATGACATGAAAAAATTTTTTTACGTGAGTTTGTGTTCTTTGTCATCAGAAAATGTAATTCTTGCAGAATGCATTATTGGTACCATAATATTTAGCACATGTTATTGTCAACTGTATACATGTAATTGAAGGTTTTTCAAAGTGGGCATTTTAATGTAATCTCTGATCCTAGAGATTTCTTGACACTGTAACTTTGATGTGGCTCCTTTGATTGAAGTATGCTTTTATCAGTAGGATTACTACTTTTATTAAAATTATTGTTGGGGTTCAGTTGCCAAGTCACGTCCAACTCTTTGCAACCCCATGGACTACAGCACACCATACTTCCCTGTCCTTCAGCATCTCCCATAGTTTGCTGAAACTCATGTCCATAGAGTTGGTGATGCCATCCAACCACCTTATCCTCTATTGTCCCCTTCTCCTCTCACCCTCAATCTTTTCCAGCATTGGGGTCTTTTCTAGTGAGTCAGTTCTTTGCATCAGGTGGCCAAAGTATTGGAGCTTCAGCCTCAGTCTCAGGAGCTTCAGTCTCAGGAGCCTCAGTCTCAGGAGCTTCAGTCCTTCCAATGAATATTCATGGTTGATTTCCTTTAGGATTGAATGTGTAAGCTATTTTGTTTTATCCTATACCCAGGTAACATACTCTTGCTGAATTCCACTGTCAGGGATGTGTCGTAAATTGAGGGTGTGGGATGGGATGAGAAATGGGTGAGTTTCCAATATGCAGTGGCCATATTAAAAATAATCCATGCCATTGAAATGGCAGTGGTAAAGTGGCTAGATAAAAAATAAAAACAGAAATGGTCTGCTTGTTTGCACATGTATTCTCTACCCTAAATTGTGAGCAGTTCAGCAGAAACTGAGTTTGGGATCAGCATACAGAAGGATTAACTGCTATATGACTAATTTTCTATATTGCCACTCAGTTTAGCAGTTTGGATTGAGGAAAGGGAAACTACGTGGGTCTGTAGCATTTGATAAACTAGAGGTCCATGAAGAACTATGGTAATGACTGTGAGTGCTGTGTGTGGTGACAAGTGTGCTCCAGCCAGTAACAATGAGGGGATGGTGGACATGGTGGAGTGGTTGGTGGATAGTGTTGGTGAAGGAGTTGTGGAGATAGATACGGGAATGATGATGTTGGTGGCAGAGCTGGCAACATCGGTGGTAGAACTGACGATGCTTATGGTGGTAGAAGACGTAATGAAAGTTGAAGAGGTGACGATAGTGAGTTGGCCTCACTCTTCTAATAGAGCTGCTATTAGAAGTGAGGTTGTTGATGGGGATAGGGCAAGTGTTAGTAATGATACTGGTAATTCCATAAATGGTGGTAGAGCTTAGAAATCTTGAAGCTTTATGAAGTGATGTGATATCACATGACATTTAAATTGTTCTGTGTGTCTTTGGCTGGATACCAATAATGAAGCATGGTAAATTTACTTGCAGAGAGATTTGCCATACTGAGCATTCTCATTGCAGATGCTCTTTAAGTTTTTCCTTAATTACTGATACTTGTACCATGCTGTGCCAAAAAGCAACACTCTTGTCAGTTTCAACACTGTGCATAAGTTCTTCTAATAAATATTATTCAGCCCCAATTATTGGATATTTTTAGAGTAAACCTGGCTTCCCCTATTCAATGCAGTGCTCTTCAGAGTTGATTTTTATCCGGAAAGTGATGCTATTTAGTCAGGGATTATCTTTTATCTCTGTTTGCAAAACAGCTGGAAGTGTAGCTACTGAGATTTGATGTTTGTCTTCCTGCACTTGACTGCCAAGCAAAATCATTTCATTTTAATCGACAGAATTTACCTTTGTAAATTAGCATGTGCATATACCATTGAAAGATTGAAACTACAAGTTTGACCTTCTAGTAGGTATAATACATGATCTTTTTTTTTTTTTTGGATAGATAGAATGTTCTTTGTCTTTCTCATGGTATGTTTGAAATTAAACAAAAATGTCCGTAGTGAATTTTCCCTTTTCATTGTTTAAAGTAAACCTCCTAAAAAAAAAAAAAAAAAAAAAAGTAAACCTCCTTCTCTCTGCCTGGCCACAGGTGACTTATTCTTCCAACTGGGAGACCACATTTGATTCTAGAGACCAGTATGAACCTGCTCAACAAATTTTCAGCTTAAACAACTGAGGATTTTTCTTATTTGATGTATTTAAGAGTATCCACGGTTTATGGTTACTGAATATTTGCTATGCAGCTGGCACTTTTCATGGCTATCTCATGATATGTTCTAATACATTCACATTTTATGGATAAGAAAAGTGGGGCTTTGGGAGCCACACTTATACTTGGCAGAGCCAGGATTTGGACCCAGCTGCTTACTGGTACCCATGCTCTTAACCATTATGATACATTTCCTGTAGATTTCCACCAATGTGGAATTTAGTTCAACTCTCCTTTTCTACTTGAAAAACCAAGTAGATTTATTTTTTTTTTAAAAACGTCTGGGTTTTTTGGAGAAGAATCAAGATTGCCCTCCAGGAGAAAGGGAACCATATGGAAATTATCCATTTTATTCTTGACTTAGAAAATGTTTGTTTAAATAATGGGATCGGACTTGGAGTTAGAAATCTGTAAGGTTAGTTACACACTCTACAATCTACCAGCCCCGAGATCACAATTTAGTCTCTTAATCCGCAGAATTTGGGACATTAGAGGCTCCTTTCCCTCATTTGCCAAAGAGAGGAATAATCTGCCCTATTCATCTTAGATAGTAACAACTTTGTAAAGATTGAACTCAGAGTAACTTGACTGGACCCCTGCAGTGATGTCCTAATCAATTTCCCTTCTTCTGATCTCTACCTTGCAAAGTTCTTCTCCATGATAGTTTCCCTAAAGTGTCCCGTTAACCATGGCTCTTGTCTCATCAGAAACCTTCTTTATGTAACCATTAACTGTAGGATAAAATTAAAGTGCTTAACTTGATATTCAAGTTCTTTGCATCTAGTCCTTCCAATCACACCTTTCACATTCTCCTTTAAAGAACCTATATGCTACTTTATTTTTTTTTTTTGAAATTTTGAGATTTTTCATTTGAAGGTAAATCTTAATGCTATTAAATTCACAAATATGCTAATTTAAATACCCAACTCTATTATCTAAAACACATATTGCAAACATACAAATATCTATTCTCTCCACATGTCAGAGCCATTCGTTTCATGGTTTGGAAATGGGGAGAATAGATTCCCCTTAAACTGCAAGTCAGCAGGTGTTTCTTTACAGTTAACTTTAGCAAAATTCATACAAAATAGTAATTAACAATGATCTTCTTTACTTGTTAACTCACAAGGAAACACCTTCAAAACTGCATTTTGTTAAAGTTTCTGTACTAAAATGTAGAAAAACTGAACTACACAAATATTGAAAAGTTAAAAATTCCTTAATTTTTTATTCCTGGTACCACTACCACAATTTACAGGGCAATATACCTGATGTAATGAAAAGAAAAAGAAAAAGAAAAAGCTACAACAGATAAAAGACCTCAGGAATGTACACCTAATTGACACTACATTGCATTAATCAATAGCTGCACTTTTTGCAAACTGTGGCTATGACAGTCCTGAACAAGAAGGGTTTCCTGTTGAAGCTGCAGTAACTTTTCTGACTGTGGATCATCGTTCCTCCTGTGGCAGATTTTTACAGTTCCTCTAACGCATTTGGGACGACTGTCTCAGAGTAACCTGCAGCTTTCCTGACAACTCCTCGCTCTCTCTCCTGCTAAGAACTGTAGCCCTTTTCTTCTGAGTTTTTAGAACCTTCTGCTACCATATCCACCACTTCCACCACCAGATCCATAACCACCACCATAGGGACTGCCCGAGCTGCTTCCACCAAAACTACCCCCTTTCATGGGTCCATAATTTGATTGCTGTTGTCCACTATAATTTCCAAAATCATGATCGTTTCCACCAACACCATAGTTACCACCTCCAAAATTTCCTCCTTCATTGTAACCATCGTATCCTCCACCACCGCCACCATATCCACCACCTTGGTTTCCATATCCTGGTCCACCACCACCGTAACCTCCTCTGCTACTATAACCAGGACCACCGCCATAGTTGCCACCATCACCTCCAAATCCATTGTGTCCACCATCACCTCCTCCATAACTCCCTCGGCTGCCACCACCTCCACCACCATAGCCTCCTCTTCCACCAAAGTTTCCACCACGGCCAGACTTACCTCCACCACCTCCAAAGTTTCCTCCACGACCCATAAAGTTGCCAGATCCACCTCCACGACCTCTTTGTGATCCAGCAGATTGCATCTCTTGTTTAGAAAGGGCCTTTTTCACTTCACAATTATGCCCATTAATAGTGTGGTATTTCTGAACAACAGTTTTATCAACTGTATCATGATCATCAAAAGTTACAAAAGCAAATCCTCTCTTTTTCCCACTCTGCCTGTCTTCCATAACTTCTATGGTTTCAATCTTGCCATACTTTTCAAAGTAGTCTCTCAAATTATATTCTTCTGTATCTTCTTTAATACCACCAACAAAAATTTTCTTCCCTGTTAGATGGGCACCAGGCTTTACAGAATCCTCTCTAGAAGCAGCTCTCATTGGCTCCACTACACGCCCATCACCCTTGTGCGGTCGCGCACACATTGCTGCATCCACTTCTTCAACACAAGAGTGAGTCACAAAGCCAGAGCCCCTGGAACGTTTTGTTTGGGCGTCTCTCATCACCACACAATCTGTAAGCGTGCCCCGTTTCTCAAAATGTTCTCTTAAGCTGTCATCTGTAGTTTCAAAGCTCAGACCACCGATAAACAGCTTTCTCAGCTGCTCTGGTTCCTTGGGGTCATGACCCTCCTCCCCCCGGCGGCGGCGGCGGCGGCGGCGGCGGCGGCGGCGGCGGCAACGGCCGGAGTCGGGCTGGGGGCGACCGGGCGGCGGTTTTACCTCCATTTTGAGACCGGACTCGGCTCTCCCAACTCGAGTTCAATATGGGACCGAGAGCCTATATGCTACTTTAACAGAATTGTTTGTTGTTGTTATTCTTCACGCCTTTGTTCATGCCTCGAATTACTTGTCCATTACTTACTTAAATATTTTTACACAGCGTGAAGTGAGGACACAGCAAGAAGATGATTGTCTGCCCACCCCGAGGGAGCTCTCACCAGAACCTGACACTTGTGGTACCCTGATCTTGGACTTCCAGCTTCCAGAAAGGTGAGAAAATATAATTTGAGTCATATAATTGAATCACCTAATCTGTGGTATTTTGTCCTGGCAGCCTGATAGTACAGTGGACCCTTGAACAAGTACAGTGTAAGTAAGACAAGTACAGTGGACCCTTGAACATCACGGTCTTGAACTGCACAGATCTACTTATATGTAGGTGTTTTTCTACAGTGGATACTGCATTACTGCACCATCCGAGATTGGTTCAATCTGTGATACAGGTCCACGGATAGAGAGGGAACTCAGTTATGGAGGGCCGGACTATAAATTATATACGGATTTTCAATAGTACTACACAATCTAAAGTTTGTTGGTTGAATACAGAAATGCAGAGGAGTTCCAGATATAAAGAGCAGACTATAAATTATAGGCAAATTTTTGCTTGTGGAGGATAGGTGCCCCTAACCCTCATTTTGTTTAGGGATCAACCGTATCTACTATTTGGAATGTTGAAGAGCGAAAATTCCTTCATTTTTGATTCTGTGGTCTGGATTGCTAGCTGCTGAGTTTTACCTGAATCTTGGGGTCACCTGATCTTAGCTAATCTCCTTTGCCCAGGGAAATTTCCAGTATGTCTCAGACTAGGGCTCATTTTTGATCAATAGTTTGAGTATTATGGAAGTTTTCCTGAAAGTGAGATGTGGAAATATAGATGCCTTCTTCCTGTTGAAGGTGTCTATTTGAGTGGATGAATCTAAACTGAAAAATACTGATTATTTCTGCTCACTAGTGGGAAGAATAACAGCTAAAGTGATCATCAAAATGATTGGCATGGCCTGTTATTTCAGCAAGATCATGAGTGAGAGGTACTGTTGAAAGGGAATAAAAGAAGGAATAATACATTAATTATTTTGGGAAAAAGGGGGAAAATTAAGGACTATGGTTGAAATACTATTGTTTTTCTATTTTTAAGAAAATTATGCATTTTCCCACTTCACTCTAGCTTTATAATGTCATTTTATTCAACACAGCATTGCTTCTCCTTGGGAATCATGATGGGAAATTAATCTCAACATTTAATTGCAATGTGTTAGTGTTAACATGCCTTATGAAGGTAGTCAGGAGACAGATCTGTAGGTTTGCTTCTCCACAGTCTGATACCATGAGCTAATGGGAACAAGGTTTAGGGGGTCTTAGTGTGCTAATGGGCTTCCTAGGTGGCTCAGTGGGTAAAGAAACTGCCTGAAATGCAGGAGATGCTGGAGATATGAGTTCAATTCCTGGGTCAGGAAGATCCCTGGAGCAGGGCATGGCAACCCACTCCAGGATTCTTGCCTGGAGAATCCCATGGACAGAGGAGCCTGGCAGCCTTCAGTCCATAGGTCGCAAAGAGTCGGACACGACTCAAGTGACTGAGGACAGCACAGTGTTAAGATGGGCAAAATACCTCCAATGTGGTTGTTATTAAGCCTGTCATTATGGTTTTATACAATCTTGATCTTGGGAGATGAGCTGAACTGTTTCTCACACCTTGGTGAGTACATTCTATCCAGGTCATGGGACATCATGAGACTGATTTTTACTTCTAGTGCGTTTATCCCTCTGCTTCCGAGCCCTTTACGAACATATACGTAGTGATGTGAGAATGGAGACATAGGAGATGTTCGGCAAGGTTTGACAGAGGAAGTGGCACTCATGCAATATTCTGAATCTTGGCCTGTATTTCACGACACATGCTAACAGTATCTTATGAGTCCAAGGGACAGGGTGTGTTCAGTGTCCGACCCTGCACTTAGATCTTGGTGTTATCTGAAGTGAAGTGTGTATTTAACGATGTCTCACAATAGCATTCAGCACTTTATAGTGATTTTTAATAATTAATGTTTATTGTACACTACTGTGCTTTCTAATTCTTATAGCAACTCTTCCAGGTAAGCATAATTATGCTCATTTTACAGATGAACAAACTGGCAGTAACTGGGAGAGTAACACTTCTCTAAGAGAGCGGTCCCAGAACTACTAGTTGGCAGGGATACTCTGAGCCCAGCCTATCATTTTTTCATTTTGACACATCTCCCTGACAAGGATCCTATTCTGGCTAAGATTTTTTTTGAATCCACATTGGATCTTTGTGTTGCTTTACGGTAGGAACGCAAGCAACCAAACTCTAATAGTCTGTATCTTTGCAAATTATGGCAATCTTCCTTGTAGAAGAGCTATTCCTTTGATTAGCATGGTCTGATTTGCCTGAGTTTGATTAGCATGGTCCAGACTCCAGGATACTAATCAAGTCTTGGCATATTGACAGTGGAGTTTGATGGTGTAAAAAAGCAGATGACCAGACTCAGGAACTCAGTCTTTACTTACTGCCAGCATGGTGGAGCTGTATGTATAACCATCTCCCTGCCTTTCCATCAGGAGTAGTATGTGATGTGGTTTTGTCCTTTCAACTCACACTAGAACACGCTCAGTGATGGTAAGGCAGCTTTGTAATGATCTGCTTGCTTCTTGATATCCACATCTACATTGGACCCTGGATCCCATCCTGTCTCTAGGCAGAAGCATTCTAAGGAGCCTTTGTCCAGGAGGCCATGGATTCTGTATCAGTACAATCTGACAGCTGCTGTCTCTCTTGTCATGTGTGAAGAATTTTTTAATGGCCATAATTCCCCCCATCCTGGTGTATATTCCACTTTGTTATATGGCTCTACTGATCCACTCATCTAGAAGTCTATTTCTCTGTACCTTGAAACTGGGTTGGCATTGCTTATTTGCTTTAACTAGTAGAGTACACTTGGAGTAAAAACATGTGACTTCCAGAGTCTAGGCCATAAGAGGCCTAATAGCTTCTGTTTTTCATCCTCATGGTCACACTCCTGAGAACACCATATAAGGAAGCCTGCCGGAGGGTGAGCCGCTGGAGACCAAGGCCCCCCTGCCCACAGTAGTGCCAACTTCCATATGTGTGTGAGGTTCTCTTAGACCTCCTAGTTCAGTAGACAGGGCAGCTGAATGAGGGACCGAGAAAAATCAGCAGTAATATGCTAGGCATTACGAAGAATATGGCGAGAAAAGCTTAGAGGTGAGGAAAAAAAAGACTTACCTAAAGCAGAGTCTTCAGGAATATGATCTAACTCTACAAAGGTAAGTCAGAAACAGACTGAGGAAGAACCTGCATGCCAAAGTGGTGACTGTTCATTCTAGTCATTCACCTATAGAAAGACTGTAATGAAAAGAATAGTAGAAATGGAAAATAAGTTTTCACAGGTGTTGGTAAAAACAGCAGACATGGCTGATGAGACCTGAGGGAGGAGCCTGGTTATCTATTGCAGCATAAAGTTTTCTTGACCTCTTTAGTGGTTTATGATAGAGCTCACATTGCACCCTGGTGAACTCTGGGGCCCCTGAATTTGTGGAGGACGAAAAATTCTTGCCAAATCTCCCAAAGTGAAGTTTTCCAAAAAAATCAATGAGACCTGTTGTTTCTTTCCATGAGTGTGCTAACCACCACAAAGACACCATCTGTGTATAATGAGGTAGTGCTCTCATAATGCTTTTAAACTGCATTATTATTTTGCATGTTGTCTGGACTTGATTGTGATTATGATTTTTCACTTTTTAGCAGAGCCATGGGAAATAAATGCTTATAAATATAATAGTTCATAAGAGAAGGCTCAAGTAACAAGGTGAAGTGAAAATCAGTCATAAATGAAGCTTGTATTAAGTCTTAAGAGTAGTACAATATTGAGCTGGTTTAAAACTCAACATTCAAAAAACGAAGATCATGGCATCCAGTCCTATCACTTCATGAAAAATAGATGGGGAAACAATGGAAACAGTGACAAACTTTTTTTCTTGGGCTCCAAAATCACTGCACATGGTGACTGCAGCCATGAAATTAAAAGACACTTGCTCCTTGGAAGAAAAGCTCTGGCAAACCGAGACAGTGTATTGAAAAGCAGAAACTTTACTTTGCCACCAAAGGTCTGTATAGGCAAAGCTATAGTTTTTTCAGTAGTCATGTGTGGATGTAAGAGTTGGACCATAAAGAAGCCTGAGCACCGGGAAACTGATGGTTTTGAACTGTGGTGTTGGAGAAGACTCCTGAGAGTCCCTTGGACAGTCAGGAGATCAAGCCAGTCAATCCTAAAGGAAATCAACCCTGAATATTCATTGGAGGGACTGAACCTGAGGCTGACGCTCCAATACTTTGGCCACCTTATTCGAAGAGCTGACTGATTGGAAAAGACCCTGATGCTGGGAAAGATTGAAGGGAGGAGGAGAAGGGGATGACAGAGGATGAGATGGTTGGATGGCATCACTGACTTAATGGACATGAGCCTGAGCAAACTCCGGGAGATTGTGAAGGACAGGGAAGCCTGGCATGCTGACGTCCATGGGGTCACAAAGAGTTGGACACAACTGAGCAGCTAAACAACAACAACAGCGTTGAGCACCTTATAATACAAAAGCCTTAGATGATAAAAAACTAGATACTGAGGCCTTCTGATGAGGAACTTTTTAATCCTCTTCTCTCAGCTCTCTGCATTGCTTGCCCCTTCCTTTGGAAGAGGAGTTGCTACCCTTATTGTTCAGACTTCATGACACTAATTAGGCCAGTGGGTCTCTCTACATTAAAAGATTATCCCCAGGGGTGTGACTCTCTGCTGTTCTCATCTCCTATGTGGCAAGATGGCAAGGCCACCTCTTGCTGGCAGAAGGCCAGGCTACCCAGTATTCACCTCTTTTCTCCCCCTTGTTGTACCTGGGAACACTGAACTCTT